CCATCATTTTTTCAATTCACAAATGATTTTGCCCTCACAATAAGACAAAATGGCCCCGGCAAGTATCGGGTTAAGAGGAGACATTCCTATTTCTTATATCATCTTTTTCATATTACTTTGTATTAAACATATTTCATTATTTTAATAAAACCAGACTGTTCGTGTGACTGAAAATATTTTTCTTGCACTACAGATTTATGTTTTCCTGTATTACCCAAAATATTTGCTATAAATCAGGAGCAACTTATCAGTTTTCTTCTGCACACCTTTTGTGACTTAATGTGAAAAATCTCTCTTAACCACCTAAAATACATAAAAATAAACTCTATGATAATTTATGGTAAGCTCCTAAACAGCCTTAACCCTTTCGAGACAGGTCACGGGTAAAAGGCCATGTCATCTCGTTTGTTGACTCGCATTCAAAATTTTATTGAACTACTATTTCATGAATTTATATCAATAAGTTTGGTATCAAACTGTAGATTATAATTCATATTTTAGTACTATACATTACTCAATTTCTTAATTTCAAAGTAAATAAAAAAAAATACACAGGTAAACATCGGTTTTTGTGTGGCACGTGGTATGTTGAATGAAGCACTGGTTCAAATTAGATGTTTGTGAATTCAAAATACTAAGTCTATAGTTTCGTACGAATTAGAAACTCGAATTACAGAAATTGACAAGCTAGAATATAAAATAAGTCTTATTTTTTCTATTTGCTAAGATATTGCTCATGTAATAAATCAAACACAGTGGAACCCCTCCCACCACTTTCCATTTTGGGAAACGCTCCCTTATATACACTTATCTCCCTCTATATATGACATGAATAACCAATTGGAAGCTTAGAATGTCCCCACCCCCTACCAGCTTTCTCAGCTATTTTAAATTCTTAGGATGCTATTTATTTCTTTTGAACAAAGATTTCAAGGAAGTACATTGTATCTTTATTTTGCTCAAAATTTCATATTTTGTTAGACTAAAATACATCTTAGTTACTAAGCTTGATAAATTATAGTAGAATTCTATGGTACTGATGTCGTAATTTATTACATTTTAGTTATTCAAATGTATATTTAAAACCTGTTTTATATCCTTCATGTGTAAAATTTTTAAAGGCTTAGCAACCTACGTCAAGCAGCAACCTGTTCAAACACTGAAAACACTCAAGTTATTAATTTCAGAAGTTTGCAAAATTTGTATTGTGCTCAATAAATTTGTGTCTTGATTGTTTAATATGTCACATCATAAACATTATCAAGAGTGAAATATGTCAAAAGAGACCATAAAATATTCTCAAAACTGTGATTTGTTCCCAGATGTTACATTTTTTTAATTTGGGTCCTTTATTCACCTTGGCTGGCTGATTACTCTTAAAAGCATTGTTTTTACTCTACAGCTATTTTGAAAGCTCAGCTTCCTGATTGAGATTAAGCCCCCTAAAGTTGCATGGCAAAAAGAAGTACTTGAAAACCTGACAGAAAAATGGTATGGGCTCTTAAATTTTAAAGAGATACACAGAGAAATTTGAGAAAAATATAAAGAAAGAAATCAACAAATGTGTTTATTATAGGCAAGATACCTTGGAATTGTGCTGAAAAAAAAAAGGAAATCTTTATAAACACGCATAGTAAGTCCTCTATATACTTTGGGGATATGTTCCTAAAAACAATTACTTTAGGTGAAATGACATAAATAGAAATTTATTGTCCCATTGAAATAATGGTATAAATAGGGGATGCATTCTTTGATAGGTTGTTTAGGCAGAGTATTCATAATGAATCTAATAATGGCTGGAGATGGCTTGAATGGGTAATGAAGCAAAACTTTAATATAAGTTTAACATAACAGCAAGAGTACAATGTTTCGACAAGGTTTTGTCATCATCAGGTACAAGTAATTTACACTGACACGGATATATATACAGTATTGAACAAAGAAGTCACATGACCGGAACTGTTGCGAAACTTAGAAGAGGTATCTTGGCACCCCGGGGGGTTGGTTTAGAGTAGGGATGTTTTGTTTAATTAAGATGGATCGCTTGATTTTTCGTTTGTTTATGTTGGGTTCTTTGTTTAAAATGACAGTGTTTTAATATATATACTATGGTTTTTTGAGTCGTAATGGTGAAAAACATGGGACGGTTTTTTATTGTGTTCTGTCAATT